TCTATACAAAAAAAAATAAAAACACCATAAAAATATTTGAAGGTGGAAAAAAGTCTGTTTTTCCAGACTGCTCAACATCAATGCCAAACATCGAGATCCGTTCAGCCGTTTAGGCTACAAACTCTAACAAAGATCCATCTAAAGTTTCGCATTTATAATATTAGTAAGAAGTAAGATAACATAAACGCTTAAGTTCACAACATAAAGAATAAGATAAAATACCTGTGTACATAATCCTCATAGTGATTAGGACAGTCGTAGTTGACGACGAGCACCAGCTGCTTGACGTCGAGGCCGCGCGCCGCCACGCTGGTGGCCACCAGCAGCCGCACCTTGCCCGACTTGAAGTCCACGATCGTCGAGTCCCTGTCGAATTGATCAATGCCTGAAACAGGCCACCGTCAGTACTCCTATAGCAACACGCATTTAACTATACTCCAAATAACACAAAAAAAAACAAGAAAAGTTCATTGATTAAATCTAATAGATAAATATACTAGAAAACATCGAAAATAAAAAAAGAAAAAAAACACGATGAGTGAGATTCGAACTCGGTTTTTTCTGCACTTTAGTATCAAATTTCACGTCCACTATAGCTATTTTGTTCACTCGGAAGAAAATGAATCGAAGACCTCATTCTTACAAATTGGTTCAATTACAACGGACTTTACATACATACAAACCCATACATAAACACAAACTTACATACACGCGAATACTCACATACAAAAGCCATAGATAATAAATGACATATGGAATACATATTAAAGTTACAATCATACCTCATAACTTACCTCCATGCAAACTCATACAAGAATACGAAGCCTTCATGAGATCTTTGAGCAGACTGTCCGCGTTCTCCTGCTTGTCCACGAACACGATGATGCTGCCCATCTGGCTGTACAGGCCCAGCAGCTCCAGCAGCTTGAAGAACTTCGCCTCTTCTTCTAGAATAGCCACGTGCTGTTCCACCTCCTTGCAGACCACGCTTCTGCCGCCGACCTATAACAATTACATTTAAAAAATCTGTATTAATATGACTTTTATTTTTTTTTAATTCTTGTTAAAAATATATAGAAAAGGTTTTCTAGTATTGTCATATTATAGAACTAAAATTCTTTGGTAGCACATTGCATGAAATTTAATTCTTGACTACTAGCTGTTGCTCGCGACTTCGTCCGCGTATAATTAAAAATATAGCCTATGTTAATCACTGATAACATAGCTTTTTAATGGTGAAAGTATTTTAGATATCGGCTCAGCAGTTTTTGAGTTTTTTCAATACATACAAAAATACAAATCTCTCTTTTTTATAATACTAGTTTATTATCCTGACTTTGTATATTATTTTAGTTTGATAAAAAAATATATCTCGAAAGTCTTTCTGTTTTTTTGCTTAGTAGTAAGTAAATAGTTTAAAATAGTTTTACTTGTATTTCAATAGGTTTCTGCAGTATCCGTCGCGCGAGAGCCTCCATTTGTCGCGGGAATGTGGCACTGAACATCACCGTCTGTCTGTCCGGACGTACGTTGTCTATTATTTTCATCACCTGGCAAATTAAAAACAAACATTTTTGTTATACATTCATTTATATTGCAACACTTCTATATGTAATCTATACTAATATTATTAATGCGAAAGTTTGGATAGATGGATGTTTGTTAGAGTTTTTAGCGTAAACTGCTAAACGGATCTCGATAAATTTTGTCATAGATGATAGTCTGGAAGAACACGTAGGCTACTTACTGATGGAATTTAATATTACGCGGACAGAGTCCCAGACGAAAGTTATTGTCGAATGGATTTTTTAAAAATTCAACTCCATTCACTATTATGTATAATTTCAATTCGAAGTAACATACAATGAAAATCTATCAAGACAAAAAAGCATTATGCATCTATAAAGTATTGATTTGCAAATATCTTGGCTGTTTAATTTCAAAATCAAAAGCCCCTTAAATATGTGATATTTAGTAAAAATGATTTTTTATAGATAATGTCGTTACTTGCGGCTCGAAGCCCATGTCGAACATGCGGTCTGCCTCGTCCAGCACGACGTAGGTGACGCGGCGCAGGTTGGTGACGCGGCCCGAGTTGGCGGCCAGCATGTCTATCATGCGCCCCGGGGTGCACACTATCATCTCCGCGCCGCGCTTCAGCTCCGCTATCTACATTCATTATCAACATTTAAAACTCTTTATTACTCATGATTTAAAAAAAAATTAAGTATAAAACCAACGCTTTATTCCGATTTATTTTAATGTTTAAACTAATCATACCAAATTATAATACATTTAATTAGCTACAATTTGATCCGTTTTGTTTAAAAAATTAGACAAAAACAAATTTGCTTTCATACCCTCCGATACTCTATTTCAAAACAAAAATATGACATCAATGTGAAACATGAAATTACTAATGACAAATAGGAATATAATTCTGAAACGACCACGAAATAGAGAAGATTCTTAATCAATCGTAGATATGATTAGATATAGGTCTTTACAAATATTTCAACGGCTAAATATCTATGCAGCGACTTATCTGGGTTCTGAGCCACTAAGACATCGGACTACAAATAGATTTTGTTACTTAACTCAAAAACATTTTAATTGTCTGTACTAATAAAACCTTAGGGGCTTATCTGACCACCGGCTGATAGAGGCACAGATAGCTTAAAATTCACGTCACTGTCAGATAAGGGTACAAAATCCGATATTTTCATCACATATTTTACACATTGGTTTGTTATCAATCAATTTACTATTTGGTGAGACAGGCCCTAAATCTTACAAAACTAAATTTATATTTGTATATAAAAATACCAACCTGTTCAGAAATACCGGTACCACCATACACACAGACAACTCGTAATCCCAAAGATTTGGCAAACTTCTTTATATCCTTGCCGATCTGCATACACAGCTCTCTAGTGGGTGTCATGATGAGGGATATGGGTCCGTCCGTGTCCTCCAGGGCAGGCTGGTCCAGAACATGCCGGAACATTGGTAAGATAAACGCTAGAGTTTTACCTGATCCTGTCTTTGCTATACCTATTAAATCCCTGTAAAATATGTTAAGTTTCTTCAGAAATTCTTACGGCTTGCTCATTTGCCACTTAACAATAAATTGCCGTATTTCAAATAAAAATGTAACAAAGTTCATTACACTAAAATTCTATTAAATCGATTGAGTTGTAATATTCTCAAGTTTTGAAAATTGATTGGACTCTCAAATTGCAGTGTATATCTTTAAAAAATACTTAACCAATATAAGTATTATTTTTATAAAAGTAAATGTGCTCAATTATCCCCAACTTCCTCCTTATAATTGTATGAATGAAATAAGTTTAAAATTTCCAACAATTTTCAACCTTACCTCCCAGACATAATGGCTGGTATTGCTTGAGCTTGTATTGGTGTTGGCTTTTCAAAGTTTAGTTTCTTTAAAATATCCATTTCTTTCTTGCTAATACCACAATGTGCCCAAGTCCTAATAGGTTTAGGACATCCCTTACCCTTAACTCTTATTCCTTCTAACTCTGTTCTGTATGCCTCTACTTCTTCAGGAGTCATCCTTGATAACTCACTTACCTAAAAAGAAGAAAGTTTTTACAAATTATACCACGATTATACAGAAATTTAAACATTTCTGAAGCACATATTTTAATAGAACAATAAGTTACACCTTGCAATCAAATTAATTATTATAATATTTAAATATGAAATTTCAAATTAGTACTAAATTTTAAGGAAATTGCGTAAATAAATTAAAATGATATTTGACACATTTAATGTCCTTCTGGACATAACATGAATCTATTGCCTATGAATATTTTACACGGTAATTACACTTACCTCAGTATAAAATGCTTTTCTAAACGACATATATTGTAAACTAGCATGGTCTACTTTGGCCAGTTCCTTCCTCTGTTTGGAGGCAAGTGTAGCCGCTGCATCTTTTATATCCTCTGTTTCTTCCTCAGATGAATATTCTAATCCATCTTGATTCTGTTCAATTAATTCACCTGTAGAATTTGATATAAACATTACTTTTAAATATTTACTTATGTTGTGTTGCCAAGTTGTTAGGACCAAATTATAACATTTTTGTTTGTTTTTCTATGTTAATTTGGAGATAGTGAGTGAAGTGATTAATATATATTAATATAGTATAGTGAAGTGAATAATAGAGGAGTGAAGTGATTAACAAAGAATGCTGACCAAAAAGGATATAAGCTAGGAAAATTGTTGGGTTGCCAAGACATTTTTTTCCAACAAGCAACCTTTTGTTCAGGTAAAGGGACTTATACCTATTAGACTAAAGAATGTGGTAAATTTCAATGCGACTTTATGGTTTTTAGCTAACTACATATTGGTAATTCTCCAGACAATGTTTTTTTCAATACAATTTTTTGTTTTGAATTTACAATACATACCTTTATTCTTTTGTTCTGCAACCTTCTTTTTAGCTGTCCCCGTTAAAATAACAACACCTGTGCCTCCCCCAGCGGATGGCACACTTAAAAGGCCTCGGGATTGGTCCATCTGATTGACTTTACGAACTTCCTAAAAATTCAATAATAGTAATCAAATCATAGAAATGAAGTTAAAAAATATTTGAATTAAAGGACACACTAACTTGTTGAACTTCCTGCATATAAGCATCTAAAGGATCTATTTCATCTTCTTCTTCTATCTTCTCCTCTATGCTTTGCTTTTCTTTACCTTCTCCATCTTCACCTATAAACAAAAAGCAGTTATAAAAAATACCATATTGTTATCTAAACAAACTGAATGCTAAGACTTTTGTATAACATGATTATTCATACCTTCATCACCAGAATCATCCTCTAGGGACCATTTCTTTGTAGCTGATACTTGAATATTGGTGACTAGGCTACCTTTCTGCACTTCCTTCTTAGCAGACTCCAACTCTTTGCGTTTTCGTTCCGCACGCCAACGCTCAATTCGTTCACGTCTTTTCTGCATTTCTGCTTCTAAACGACTCTGTTCCTCTTCCTTCAGATAAAAGATGCAAAAACCATTTAATCATAGAAATTTCTTACTAATATAACATTTAGTGCTAAACACAACTTGCAAGCATTCTTTTATATGAAAAAGCCATATTGACATGGATTATGTTAAAGTAAAATCTTAATAAATAGCATTAAGTACCTACCTATACTTCAGTAACATTAACTTTTAATAAAAAAAAAACAAAATTAATCATTAACTATGATCAATCTTACCTTGTCAACTGAGCCCAAGTCGTAATCTCCAGTATCTGTTTTGGCAGATTTTTCTTTAGATTTTGACCTTTCCTTTCTGTCTTTATCAGGTGACTTTTTCCTTGATGATTTACTGCCAGATCCATTCCTCTTGTCATCTCTCTTGTCACTAAATCAAATAAGCAGTCTTTAACTTACAATCCAATATAAGTAATGCAGTTTAACATTGAATTCACTAAACTTCTAAACTAAATGACCCCAACAATTTTATGACTATTGGATGTGCCCAGTATCAGTAGTGATGCTACAATTAATGAATGCACAATCTACCACTTAATATATATTGAAGAAGGAATAAAACAAGTTTTAATAAAACAGTAAACACCGATGTTTACCTATCACATTGTCATGTTAACAATAAAAACATACCTCTTTCTATCACGATCTCTGTCTCTGCTCCGGTCTCTCTTAGAATCCCTATCTCTGCTACGGCTACGTTTTCGTTTAGATGATTTTGAACTGCGATCTCTACTCCGTGATCGGGATCGTCTCCGTTTACGATCAGGCGTAGCTGAACGGCTGTGGGAACGCCTGCGATCACGGTCTCTATCACGATCCCGCCTGTTTTTCAGTCAAATAGGAATAATTAATGAGTAATCCTTTAGCATACTTTGTATATCAAACTATTATAACTTACCCGCTTCTAACCATCGCTACTTCAAGTAAAAGTTACAATTTATACAGTAATTGAAATCACAATGAAGTACATTGAAAATAGTTATGTTTTTGATACTTAATTCCTTATATACAAACACAAACCAAACATTTTTAGTTTACTTATTTTATTTATTCTAAGTTTCGAGGTTATGATTCGAAATGACAAACACGATATAGATAATATAAAATGCAAACAAATGTTTAAGGTTATAGAGTTATAGATGTCACTTTAAAAGCAATTTTCAGGAGAGGATTAACAAAATTGTTTCGTGGCTTAGTTTTTCTTCGAATAGCAATAATTTTAAATTATATGAAATAAATAAAAGTACATTTAAAAATTAGCGAATTCTAAATAGTGAAACAAATTTGACGTCTAATGACTAATAACTTCTATTTCTCACTCTGTATCATATCACTCAAATAAAAACATAACCTTTATTACAACTTCGTTTTCACAAAATTTTAAGCTAATTTGCAGTAATAAAACTTTAACTTAATATATTTTGATTCAATTTCGCACACATTTGAAAGAAAAAAATAAAACCGCAGTATGGCAGACGATGGCGAAAACGTAAATACTATTATAACCTATGAACTAATAAAATGTATTTTACTTTTTTACAGCTAAGTCACATTTTAGTAGATAAATTGAATAATTCTATGACTTTCAGGTGTCGGTTATGACCGTAAAAGAACCCTTAGACCTTATAAGACTAAGTTTAGACGAGAGGATTTATGTTAAAATGAGAAATGAACGAGAATTGCGAGGCAAGTTACATGTAAGTATAACAGTAATGCAATTTTTAAACATTTTTACTTGTCACGTTAAAAAAACTCCTATAAAACACAATAAATTCCAATAATTTAACAGCTTCAGGACATAATTTATCTTTATTTCAGGCTTTTGATCAACATTTGAATATGGTTTTGGGAGATGCAGAGGAAACAATAACAACAGTTGAAATTGATGAAGAAACATATGAAGAAGTTTACAGAACAACAAAACGGAATATTCCGATGTTATTTGTAAGAGGTGATGGTGTTATACTTGTGTCACCCCCTGTACGAGTTGGACTTTGAAATAGATAATAAAAATACATGTAAAATCAATTTTATTTCTGTCCCAATAATTTAATAATAGGATCATTATTGAATTTCTGATGTTTTTGAAGAAGTAATTCATCTTCATCCATTGGTTGAATAACAGTACCAGCCTTTGTCAAAACATTAGGTTGAATAAGTTTCTTATGGGCTTTTTCAGTGATAAAAGTATTGCCCAGTGGAGCTCTAAGGGAAGCTTCATAGTCTTTAACAGTTTTAAATGGAAATGGTAGATCTGTAACTTTGTGCACAGCAAGTTTTGGGTCTTTATATTCTTTAATTATAATATCACCTTTATTTTCATCACGGCGTAGAGTGCAAGGTGGTGCTTTAAGAATAAATCGATTTTTCTTTCTCTTTGGTGCTTTAACACCTTTACCTCCCCATTGACCCCAACCAGGCAAACTTAAGTCAATGTCTTTAGGTTTGTCTTTATTGATTTCATCTTCCTTTTCCTGTCTAAAACTATCAACAACATCATCCTCTTCAAAAACTTCTTCAATATCGATTCTTGGAACAACTTGCTCATCATCATCTAACTCATCATATTCATTTACATCTTTTGGTAATGCAGTGTTCAAATATTTAGGTTTGACTACAATGAATCTGCTAGGATCAATATTTGCATTAGTATTCTCTTGTGTTTCATTAGATGTCAATATCTTAGTTAAAGATTTTGGTTCATTATCAGCAACATTTGTTTTACCATCAGTCTCAAGTAATGGTTCATCAATTACTGGTTTTTTATTTGTTTTTTTAAATTCGTAATAATCAACACCATATGCTTCTTGTGATTTACCAGTATCTCTTTCTTTACGAAGTTTGGGTTCTTTTTTTGTTTTATCGATATCTTTCTTTAGTTTTTTTAATTTTTTAGTGACCTCGTTAACAACCTTGTTTTCAAATGATTCAAAAATATTAGAAATATCCTCTGATGCTTTTCCTTCACATATATTTACAAATTCAACATTCCAATTTGAATTTGTAGCAACTATAACAGTGTTTTCTGATACCTGTTCAGGTTTGTTTAATAGTTTTGTTGTTTTTGATGATTTACTCTTTTTTCTTTTAGGTTGATCATTGACTATGTTATTTGTAGTCTCATCTTGTGTTTCAGATACTTTATCACTTAAATTACTAACACTCTTCTTTAAAATGTTTAATACACCATTAGTTTTAGTGGTATTCTCTGCATTTTCATTGTCAGATTCAGAATCACTCATTTCTTTTCGTTTTAACATTTTGTCTTTCAGATATTTTTTATATCCAAAATCAAACTCGGAATCCACATTATCTTTATCGGATCTTTTCATCATCCATGGGTTTGTTGGATCTTGTGATAAAGTTAAGTCTGGAATTTCTTGTTTGTTTTCATCGTCATCATCCGAACTTTCTTCATCAACTGTTTTATGGGTAAGAGATTTGCTGACTGCTAATTGCTCAGCTAACTGTTGCCTCACCTGAAACAAAAGGAAGTTATCAGTCTGTGATATAAAATAAAATGGCCACTTAGCCAATAAGTAAAAAAAAAATTATGTGATACATACATTTAGGAGCCTATCGTCATACTAATATTAAAAATGCGAAAATTTAGATGGATGGGATTGTGTTAGAGTTTGTGGTCTGAACTACTAAACCCATTATAATGAAATTTGGTATAAATATAGAAGTCTAGAAGAACACATAGTCTACCTGGTTTTGTTTTTTTTTTATTCTATGCCAATGGAATCTAGTACTCAAATATAACCTGACCATAATCTTAAACATTTGTTAAAAACCGATTTAAAAACCCAGAAAACAATAACTGAATTTTAATATGAGAAATTTACCTCTTTATCATACTTGGCTCTTATCAATTTACTTTTAGCCCATTTGCCTGTGCTTTTATGTCTAAGTGTGTGCCGTTCTAATGCTCGAGCCTTCTCAAGTGATTCAAGTCTCTTTAGTGCTTCTTCTGGATCCTTACTTTGCAGTTCTTCAAACTCCTTTAGCTGTTTCTTCAATTTGTCTTTTTTCAATATGCTGAAAAATTAAGGAGGCAATGAGTTTACAATTATCATTAATTTTGTTATTTTGTCCATTAAAGGTAAAATATTATCATACCGATGAAACTTCTTGCTCTTAATTTTACTCTGCCTTTTAGCTTTAGCTGCTTTGTATGATTGCTGAGCTCGTAACTTTGCCAGCTGCTGCCTGTGTTCAAGCATTTCTTCATATGACATTGGGTACTCAGGTTTCTCCTCCTCTTCGGGAATCTCAGGGGCAGGTGGGTCCACTTCATCCAATTCTTTTTCAAGGGGTGACTTTAATTTTAACTTAGATAAAAACTCATGTGTTGGTTGAAGTTTAGAACTAACATGCTTTAGAGGGAATGACACAAAATCTACAGTTCGATTTCGAGCAACGACCGGATCCCATCTTCCAATTTTGTGTTTCGTTTGTTCATAACCTGTGCTTCTTTTAATACGTTCTGCCTGCGGTTTCTCTATCGGCTTAGGTAGAATTTTAGAATGGTTTTGACTTTCGGTCAGCTTTCTGCTTATTTTCAAGTTTTGTGGTGTCTCTTCCAATACTTTCACTACATTCTTTAAGTCAAGTTTATTTGATCTTTTGATTAAATTGAACTCGGAATTGGTATTCGTTGGTTCGTTACGTGTAGGTACAGTTATATGTTGAGTTTTGTCTAATTTAGTAACCGCACTTAATAAACGATCATGTTCAGAGGATACAAAGTCTACTACATCTTCTATTTCTTCCATTATTGTTTAGTTTATTTTATATAAACACATGCACACTTAAATAATCAATATGGTAAATTCTAACCTAAAAGTGACAGTGACGAAAAGTTTATTATTGACAGCTTATTATTGACGTCCGATGTTACCTGTTTGCACTTATGAAAGGACTACAAAATGTTTTTTTTTTTGTTAAGCTAGTTTAACCAAACTTTTTTCAAACTAAACTGAGTATAAAAAAAATGTGTAATTTTATTGTAATCTTAAATATGTTTGATTATATTAAAATCGTAGTTTGAATATTAACAACACAAATGTTAGGTAAGGATAGAAAAAGATACCGTGCTAGATAAAAATACTTTACTTTAGCAAATCCTTAAAACACAGAACCTTCCTCTCGTTTTATTGTCAAAGTCAATTTTCTAAAAGTAAAGGTATTTTGTTTTTATATCAATTTATTTTAACTTTGATAAGACATTTACATATAGAACAAGGCAATATGGAAAGGAGAATTAAGCTTTAATAAAGAAAAGTAAGACGGTTAGCTGAATGGATAACTTCTTTAATCAAAATCATGTCATCTGTTATCAAATTAAAGACTGTCTCAAATGTTAATTATCATTTTAGCAGTAAAAACACAATTAAAACATAACCATAATTTTTATTAAAATTTATGAAGCATTTGATGAACCGGACGACATCAACACATTTTCTTGATTGTGATTCATTTGACGCAAATGTTTAAAATGTTGGCGATTTCTGTATAATTTCGCTTCGTCGGTACATTTTGTCGTAATACAGCTTCTAAAAATAAAAGTTACTTTTAAGGGGATTTAAACGAAAACTATAATTTAACTAGTATATAAACTATTCTTTTGTATGGTGAGATACCTACATATATCTGAAAACAATTTAAATGACTGTGATTTTATGATATGTTTACTTTATAAAGCTTACGATGTAAATTTATGGCAACCTATATCTATACTTCTATACTATTATAGTAAAGCGTAAACACACACTTCTTTACTGCCTAAGATGTCAGCAATTACAGCATATTTTTGTATAATTCTTTTTTTAATAAAACGCTCTACATTTACGTCACGCTTTAGGCTATATATTTTCACGCTATAAAACTTAGGGGGTAAATAAATTGGATAAAAACCTAATGTGGGAAAGAGACCATAAGTTGCTGTCAACATCAAGGAAGCAAGATTGTCGTCATTTTGACATTTACAATTGACTATTTGACACATGTAAACAATAAAATAATTTTATGCTGATGAAAACGCATGGGAACAGCTTGCTTAATATAACTTTTTAACCCACCTTACTAATCTTTTGTCAACACCGCATCTTAGAGAAACAGTATCAACTATGTCGTCGACTAATTTGGGATCAAGGCGTTTCTTAGGAGGTTTATTTGCGAAGGCTGGTGATTGCTTTCCTGATAGCGAATGGGTCGCTAGCACTCTATAAAAAATGAATGATGTACATAAAATTCTTCGACAAAAAGTAAATATGGAATATTTTTTATGATAAAAAAGGGAAACAATTGTTAAGAATACAATTAAAATTGTTCAATTTTAAATATCAGTGTAACTATTACAGTATTTGCTAAGATCAGCACCTGCGTGGAAATACTGCTTGTAATAATTGTCTCGTAACGCTTGTATACGAACTCCAATCCAAATCTTCAAGCAGTTTGTGCGGCACCAAAACACTACCATTTCCTATCGGAACCTAAAAGATAAAGTTGTAAAGTAGAAGGTCAAAACAGAACATATACACGATATAGAATAAGTATTGTGTCTATCATGCAAAAATAGGATTTAGTTGTTTACCATGTCTGTGTTATTGGGGACTGGTTCGCCAATATTTGTAGTGTGGGCGGAAGCTCGTCTCACGCGAATTCCCACAGCTTCCGAAGGATCCGCTTCCCGATTACTTGTGTTCACATTCTGGCTAATCCATTCTTCTTTTAAAGTAGAACATTCATTCGCAATTGTATGATGATTCGGTATAGTTCTCTCCCAGTCAGATGTCTCTGACATAATAGATACGGCATCGTTTAAAGGAAGATTTGATACCAATGTCGTGAATTGTTTGTAAAGTCTGTGTACTACTACTTCTACGTCTTCGATCGCTGATAAAGTAGGCAATTTTTCGTTGAGCTCTGTTTGTGTACTTTTATTGCAGTTTTCTTTAATCTTAATATTTTTTCCTAAAACCGGTTCCGGTAGTGGAGTGCTGCTAAGTAACAATGGGTTGTTCTTGCTGTTATGAAACGATAGGTTGTTGTATAGTGCGAGGGATGACTCCGCATTGTTATTGTATTGGTGATTTTGTTTGATTGTCGATCCGTTAAAGATGTGAACGTTCGACTGAAACAGCAGTGTAATTAAAAGGTTTATTTTTGGTGGCAAAATATTAAATTCGATTTTATCGACAGTACATACCTCTTGTTCACTGTCTGATGTATCATCGTCGTGGATGTTTGAGCGTTGTGATGTACGACAAGCAACTGGGCTTGGAACAGATTGACGTGTGCTACTTCTTTCACCCAGAAGCTGGAACATATTTTGATTAGGTTATTGACAAACTTAAAAAATGAAGGATATGTATGTATATATGTCTAGAATTGCTAGTCCAACTTACCAAGTTTCCCGGTACACTCTTCATCTCCTTAATAGTATTAACACATAATGAAACGACATTTTTTACTTGTTGATCTTGTCGTTCCAATAATGTTTTAAGTTCTTTAACGTAACTCTTGTTATCTAGAAAAAAAATGATATTGTTAAGTATAACATACGCCTAAAGGAAAAAATATTATGATAGACAGTAATATTTAACAAACAATAGCAATATTTCAGTAGGGGGTACTACAGTACATTCATTAAATTTGTTACAGAAATGTGAGTTTATCATAGATCTAAAACAAAATTGTTTAATGTGTATTAAGAAAAAAGATTAAAAAAAAAATAACAAATTCAAATCTTAGACTTACCGGATATCCTGAGGATCTGTGCCTTACGAATACCATTGCCATGTTTATTCCTGATGTTAACTACCTTCCCAACATGCACGTCACTACCGTCACTAATCAAGGAATTGGCGGTGACAATACCATAAGACGAGAATACCGCTTCCTCTGTCCATTCTACAAGCAACCAAAGATGTTGAGACATATTAAATCTAAGTTATATTACGCACAAGTAATCACTAATAGATCGCAACTTCAACTGAACTAAAAAAGGCACCTACTGTTTCGCAGGTAAAAATAGGCGCATCCCTAAACACCCCAAATCTCAGTTGGGACTCTACCCCAATGAAGAAAAAAATTAACAATACCATTGGCATCGGTCATAAATGATTAACGGAACTTAGTTTTTAGGTCTACTTTAGCGTAAAACATTGCGACAGTATAAAACAATGAGGTAATCAGTAGTACAAACATTTTTCTATACCTAAACTTTACTAATACGGGCTTTGCGGAATCTATAATTATAATAGACATAAGTTTTTATCTGCATCCATTATAGAACTAAACTTTTAGTATAAATTGATTCAATTCAAAACATAATTTTTTTTAAAGATAGGTCGTTGTTTACTCTTGCAATCAAACAAACAAAAATGCACGTGTGCAGTCTACAATCACATTTACCTATTTCATTTGTTTAATGAATACTAATTAAATATTGCCATATGTTATTGCAATATTAATGCAATATATTATTTTCTATATGAGAACTTAATAAAGTGTTTGGTTGTTGCTAATACTATAATGTCCTAATAAGAATTTTTAACTAGTGCGAATACCCGGAATTAAAATAATATTTATTGATTTCAAATTGAGGCTATCTTCCAAATTATCGTAATGTTAAAATCCATAGCTTAGACTCTGAAAAGATTTATTTTTTAATCTAATTTTTTATTAAACACAATGGATATACTAGAAGCATATTTGTAATTTCTAAAATTCTCCAGATTGGGCTTCTATCCTTACTATTAGATGTATAATAACTTTTACCTGTGTGGTACCTGAAAACCTACTAGGTAGGTAAACTTACAAGGCCATAGCCTTGAATGCCGACCACTAGTTAACAAAAATTTATTCCTTAACTAGTGGTCGTAGTTGGACATCGTGATATATTTAAATACATTAGTAAAATATACAATTTTTGTGATGGTTTTGTACCAGGAGTCCACTTATTGCATTGATGTGTTAATGTACTCCGCTAAATATTGTATTATGTAATATTTCTAAGATATACAAAGTGTGTTTTAAAAAGTTCTCATAGTAAGAAGGTATGATTACTTTCTAATAATTCATTAAAAATAAGATGTACCTATTTGATCCTCCTAAGCTATATACTTGTTTAATTCCAATAACAGCAAGTTAGAAAATAAGGACAAAAAATAAGCGTCATTAGCTAATAACTTATATTACTTTGCAGATTAACTATGAAAGTTATTATAGAAATACTTAATGACTTTCGGGGATTTGTTTAAACAATAGACAACAGGTATTTTGGTTCCTGCGAAATCTATTATAATGAGCTCTAGTAATAACAAGTCGTGGTGATACTTTTATTGCCCCTGATAAACAATTGAGCTTAAGTCCGCCTAATTCCCGTCTGTAGTTTGTACCGGGGAAGGTGATTTGTAGAAGAAGATGGTAAATTAGAATCAGTATTCAACGAGTGTTTGTCCATGCAACTTCTCCCAAATATAGGGTTAGTTCTAGTAAGATTTAGTGAGTAGTATTTTTCAATTGTGAAATTAAACAGTGATCATGTCGACTGTAAGTAATTTAATATAATATTTTTAATGTTTTGTATGCGTTGTTCTACAAATAAAGAAATAATTTTTGTGGAAAATTTTTCATGATTATTACTTTAGTATTTCTCCGTTAGTGAAAATTTTGAGCTAATGTCTAGAAAATTTTCAGCGGCGGAATTGCCCTTATAATTTATTTAGTTAAGTCGATATCTCGATTTGATAACAGTATATGATTTTAGATCTTAATTTTTACCTATAATATGTGTGTTGTCTTTTACAGGTTAAAGTACCGGAGAATGCCACCTCAAATATGCAGGACATGCAGGATGCCGCGGAAGCGCTTCTCTCTTTACGCGGAGAGATTGAAATTAGAGCGGAATCTTGTAAGACATTCTACTATTTAAATGCTTTTATATGCAACTATATATTATGTAAAATAATATTTAAATTCCATAAAAAATCACGAAAAGATGTATTTGCAAAAGTTTAATTTACTTGTCTTTATAGAGATACAAAAATCAACACGTGGCGCCAAAAGCGTTACAGAAAATAAATATATAAATTCTTGTTTCAGCAAACAGTTCCACGTTAACTGAAGGAGAACGAAACGCAGTGCAAACTCTAATATTGAGCGCATTATTCGTACCAAAGACGGTAAGCTTAATTTAAATTCGTGCTTTAAATGTATTTGTAGTACTTAATAGTAGTTTTTTTTTTACACAAAAAAAAACAATAATCTTTGTTATTTAACAAGTATTTGCGTAAAACGTGTGATATAATGATTGCAAAAGCTTGATTTATAGTATCAATTACTTTTCAGACCGAAACGAAAAATTCGAGCCGCAAGCAGAGTTCTACGGAAACGCCAATTACGCCAATTCCAAAAACTGAAACTTTGGTAAGTGCCTTCTCTATTGCTACTAACATTAATAATCAAACAACGTCAATATATTTAACAGATTCTAATAGTATTATTCGTTACAAAAACAAGTTTAGACTTATACACATTTGCAACTAAAGACAACTTCCCATTTTAGGTTTGCAAATACTGCCGCGGTATAAACTACTATAAGAGTCATGATCAATTCAACACATCCAAACAAGTGAGTGTGGTAAAGAAATTAGAATCACTCTGCAAAGAAAACGGATCTCAAACCACCCAACAAGAACGACCAAAGGCAAAGGGATGTGATGCAAGCACACAGACCGGTGACTCAGCGACTGAAGCAGATTCCACATTGGAGGACACGTCTACTAAAATCACAAGTGTGAAAGCAGAAAGGATAACTCCACCGTCAACTTCTAAATCTAGTTATACTAAATCACCAAATCCTAAAAGACAGAGGGAATATGCAAATAACAGTGTCACCAGCAAAAGACAATCACAATACATTCGTAACAGTCTTTCGAGTTATGTTGAGAGTGACTTCGTAAGTAAACATTGTGACTGTTGACTATATTAATTGATAGATACAAACTTAATGTTTTAAAATGTCTTTTTTTTTCAGGAGTCTCCTAAAAAGAAATCCAAGAAAAACGTAACGCCGCGTGAAATAAGATTATACAACAAAAAAACGTTAAAAACTACAAACAAAGCTAATTTAAACGGCGATTTGGTAAGTAACGAATTAAATAGTGCAACAAACAAAAATCTTACAATCAAACCTTTGAAATACCAAGTGAATATCAATTTTTACAGGTTCCTATTGGTGATGGACATGCATTAGTTCCAAACCGTCTACTAAAACATATGGATTGGACATCGTACACAAATGCAACCAGAAAACTTCTGAGGGCAGTGTTTTCAAGAAGGTAATACAAAATTATAGTTGCAACCAACTGCATTATTTTCTAATTTCATTCAACTTTTAAATGTAATTATTATTTTCAATATTTCAGTGTACTGGCAACACATTCTCTCACGGGGAAACCATCACCGGCATTTCCGAACAAGCCAGCAAAGAAACAATTAAATCCAATGCTTGTGAATGACATAGTTCAAACTGTTGTGGATAATTGTCGGGTTCCGGAGAGCGTTGTAAGGACCAGTATAACGACCAAATGCGCTGACGAAAGCAAAATGCTCCGCAGTCGAATGCGAAAAGATAATCGCAATTGTGGTGTAGTAGATAGAGAAAATATTTCACCATCCGATAGCAAATCTGACGATTCCGACGATTCCTTCTACTCCGATTAATTTTGTAATATTAAACATTTTATTGGTGTACTTAGTACGCAGATTCAAACTTAATGCGAGGTAATTTACAATAACTTATTTACTCTGTAAACCCGCGAACATCTATAAAATGTTTTTGAATACTTACTAATATATTCACTTACTAAGTTTTTTTTTTATAGATATCATCGCTGAATAACGTAGGACGAAGACAACAATCGTACCTGAAAAATAGTTATAGTTGTAGAGAGAAGTGTTTTTTTTTTGTCATTTGGTCTCTAGTTGCAAATGTTACTTTTATAGTTTTAGACACACTGACACTCTATATTTATTAAATATCTAAATATAGTTAATAATTTAATTTAGTATTACTATTATACGAAATCAACAACAAGCATTATTCAGAAGACCAGTAAAGTAACTCTTAGTATTTTAATTTTCATATATGTATCTTGACGGCTCTTAAAGCGTGTCGCTTCGCAGCGCTGCCAAGATATCTAAAAAGCGTAAAAACACTGAATCGTTTCTATTTGTTAAAATTAAGAGTATTTTTACCCAGTGCCTAAATGAAAAATCTAATTTTACTGTCATACTCACAGTATATTAGTTTCTAGAGCTTTTTTTCATTAACGGTGGTTGGAGTATTCTGTGATTTAGTATGGCTTAATACAAATTTTATTTACCGTCAATCTATAAAGAAGTCATTCGTATTAATGCCCGTGTTGATTTTATTTTGTCAAAAATGTACATGTATGTTGAAAACATATTTTGTAATTTAATTAACTTTAGTGCAATAAATGTGTGCAAGATTTATGTATTTTTTTATTCACTCAGTTGTGTTAACCATTTCTTACATAATCAATCCCATATCTTCTTTTCTGTTGTAATTTACAACTAAGTTTTGGTTGCGATACCGTCCGTGTGAAATTAGGGAAAACTAAATGTAAGCCTATGTTTTCTTCCAGCCTATGTTCTACAACTGTACCAAATTTCACCGACATTCATTGCCGTTCAGGTGATATATTCTAAAAAACATTCATTATTCATAGAATGGCTTATAAAATGCTACAATTTATGTATCAATGACAATAATGATGGTTGTTCTCAACTTAAAAAAAAAAAACATATTTTTTAATGTAATTAAACATTACTTGATATTTGTGGAAGCTAGAAGCTTGGTGGCTCTGAGACTATCTTAAAGAATTCTACCAAATAGTTGACGATTTTAGTAGCTGTAACACTTAATATCTGTTGTCACTCAAGACTCAAGAGTGAATGAATGATACTTGACAATGACAGTGACACTGACGTAAGACATAGAGTTTAGTTCAGTTAGCTATTTATTTAGACGTCAATGGAGTTGTACGATGTGCGTTTATTAAAAGTAGGAGAAAATCGAAAACGGGATATGTTTCGTGATTATAGTGTTAAAATTAATAGTTTTGATGCGAATTATGCGAGAGCAGTGTGTTGATAATCGTTGTGTATAATACCAAATAATGTCAAACGACAACGAATTGTTGATATCTCTACCGCGTTCTTATTTAAACGATTTTTACAGCAAATATCTCAATTTAGTTGAAACTTTTTACTATGTTACGCTCTCCGAGAATAAATCAACGATCGCGAAAGAGAAACCGGAATATGTGTTTTTTAATGTTACGTTCAATTTGAATCCTGTGGATGGCAATTTCAATCCTTATGAGCTTGTCGGTAGAATTCAAGTAAGTAATTATTTATATGCTATTTTTCATTTAAAAAGTAGGATTGTGCATTTTTAATTTAAATAGCCTAACAGAACTCTTAACATTTCTTCATAGTTCTATAATACCAAAATAATTATGACACATTTAACTTTAAAACTCCTTAAATAATGTTAAAACCAAAAACTCATGTTTACATTTTACGTTTTGTTTGGGTATGTGTAGGTGTTTCAAATGCAATGTTTTAAACAAATGTTTAGATGATAATAAAAACAAATTGGAGTAATAAAAAAGGTTCAATGATTCAATAGCCTAATTAAAGCAGTTTCTGTCTAAGTTACCTATTTATAGTCACAATTAGCTCTAAATGTTTTGTTTTATTTTCCGTTACACTATGATGGTTTAACTACCACACTCGGGTGGTATGACTAAGTTAAGCAGTTTTTTGCTTGCTAAATCTACACTAAGGATTGCTTTTAGTGCTCTTTCAATACCAGTAAAATTAGATAGTAATGTATAATGTGGTTACATGTTGATATGTGGACTGTATTGGAATACAAAAATTAGGTAGAAGTACAAGATCTTGAGATCTCATAAGAATTAAAGTTGTATCCACATGTATTTACTAACCGTTTAGTTAGTAAATCAAAGAAATATGAGGTAGAATGTCGATTGGTTGAACTCTCTTAAAAAGGTTTTAAACATAACATTATATGTCATTGTTTGAATTATATATTCTTGAACCAAACTGTGTTTTGCCAATCAGTTTATGTTGATAAAATAAAGGGTATTCAAATATTCATAGCATATTTATTAAATAGATAAAATCTTAAACAAAATGCAATGAAAGTACTGTATGCAGTTTACTGTACTTTCGCGGATCTTCACATGAATTTAAAGAGAGTAGGGTTGTCAACTTTTCCGGATCTAACGGCGGATGCAACGAAACGGCGAAACAGAGGTCAGCGTTGCGCATTTGTTTGGGGGCCGCGCGGTGCAGTGGGCGCACAACCCGGATCTCGTCGCCCCGCTCTCCCCTTCACTGTATCGCCGTGCGTTGTGTGCGTACGACGTACGTGCAGAGAAGGCTCTCGCCGTAGTATCGCCGCGTATCACGGCGTGTCCGCACATGCGATGCGAGCCGTCCAACTAACACGCTCGCCATGTTTACAATCGAGAACTCGCAGGTGAGGCGTGTAGCACCAATACTCCTGTCACGGATGTTAACTAAAACGGATGATCGACGTTTGAATGAAACTGTATAACTTATTCCTGGTAAACCACTATGGTCATCTTCATTATTGAAGCTCTAAAGATTTAATACTAAATAGTAGGAATGTTTAAAACAGCAGCAACGTCGATCATCAGCTTTGGTGTAAAAGCGCGAGTTTCACAATAGGAGACTCGCGGCGTTCCGATGTTCATTCAAGTAACAATCCCGGAAGCGAAGCCGGTTCGTCAACGTCACGTAGGTATGATAATTGCTGTCGTCAGTGTTCAAATGTTGTTATACGATTCCGTATCTTTGTACGCGTCTGCCAAACTTTGGTGAGTAAGACCTCTGCTCCACAGAACGAATACGTGATGTAGGTAAAAAACAAACCGGACGACGTTATGTAATTGCATTCTCGTTTTTTGTATTAATACACAAGTCTTATCTACTCGTCTCGAAGTTTTAAGATTTAAACGGCTTACTCTTGACTATTTCATGATTCTTGTTATAAGAGGATTGAAGCAATTGGTCTTACTATTCAGAAAATGGAAAGAAAATCAGATAAATGATTTGGTAATCCACTTATTTATGGTTAAAATAGTATTTTAATCGTGTGTAGCACAGCACTATCATAAGACAATCCTATGTTTTCCCTATCAGAGCCGAATGGTTTAGAGTACGGACCATCGATCAAACGGTCGTTGGTTTGAATCCCAACCTTCACATTTGCTTCAAATGTGGTCCATATCGACAACGTTAGTCAGATGTTTTGTTTAAACTACATTCGTTTTCTTGTTCTCATGCACATATTTGCTATTAGTACAATAACATTGCATTAATTAATTTACCGATAACGGTCAATGAAATTATAAAAAATACATTCACGATGCTTAAAAATAAACTTCAACAGATAAAAAAAGTTATTTAAATGACGTTTTAGCACAGTGTAATTCGCATCAATGCCCAGTTCAGCGGCACTAATTCTCGAATTAGTGTCAAGTGACGATACTAATTCTTGCTGCAAACACCGCAACAACGCGACTCGTTAATTGCCACGGAGGATTTTAGTTTCAAAGTCTAAAAAAAAGTAGTTTCCCGTGCCGAAATTGCTCTATACAAATATATTGAAGTTCTTTAAAAAACACAGAGATAATATGCTTGTTTATAAGTAATAATATACATTAATATTACAATAATATTGTTATTAAATAATAATAACTCAAGCATTTGTAAAATCTTGAAAAAAAACTCAACAATGCTGACGAAGTTTTATAGTCTAATTAAAACAATTATTTCTTTATGGAATTGCTTGCATTTTGTATTTTTGTATAAATATGGGCACGTTTTATTAAATACAAAATATGATGGTTATGTTTTTTTGCCGATAACCCATCGTGTTTTAACAACAATGCCACAAATAAGAGTTCAATGTCTTGAAACAATAAGGATCCAAGTTATTATTACCTATCTGTTTGATTCAGAATAAACAAAAAAATTATATTATCCGAATAACCCATTCGAACTATTCTAACTTCTTTCTTAGTGAATCTTTTGATTGTTTTAATTATTAACAGGTAGCTGTTATCATGGTATTACATTATAATTATTGTCAATCTATAATCTTATTTCCTTTATTATATGTCAGCACACTTCCTTATGTCCAACCATACGACAGGTCAGAATTAAGCGACTTTTGCATATGAATTTGGATAGATTCTATGGTACAAACTTTGTTCCGGATGTTGCCGATGAATATTATTATAGTAATTATTAAAAAAAATATACAAATAGTAATCTAACGATCTATATAACATATTGCGATATTCAAATGAAATGTGTATGAGGAGTCTCGGTAAAACCAAAAAGCAGGAAGGAAATAAAAAAAATACGAGTTTTCCTTAATTTTATCACATGATTCTTATGTAACCTTTTTGTGAATCGTAACACGGATATGGCATGGACCTTATATCTTTTAATCCTTTTACTTGAATATGTAATTTGCAACGGTAGTTTTGGTAGAAAACGGGCATAATGTATTTGTATTTCTAACAATTCGAAACCTTGAAGAAATAGATTTTTAAACAGAAACAGTTTCCATTCCTTATTTTTTTTATAACATAAGGTGGCAAACGAGCAAGCGGCCACCTGAATCCACCGAAATGGAAAGCGACCGCAGCCCATAAACATCTGCTATTGCAGATGCGTTGCCCTTCATTGACGGAGGAGGAGACGCACATAAAGAGGACATATTCTCTTCCTATGTGTCTCATCCACCGTCAAATCCACTGTTCCTTCCCATCCTTTCCTATTAGGAAAAGGGTGGAAAGGAAAAGGGTCTAAAATTAGTTCTTTATCCTGTAGAGTAAACACGCCAAGTTTATGTTCTCCATATTTATCTATCTTTAGGCATCTTAGTCGTCACTGCCTTCTTACAATACATTTCAATTGATTCTCCTACATATAACTAGGCAGAGGTAGGCAGATTGTTAGCAAAAATTATACTTGACGTATTTGACCTGTTAATAATTAGGAGTAAACATTTTTGTTAATGTAAAATTGTTTTAATATTTTTTGAAGCAGATTAATCGATAAGATTCTGACTTCTGAGTCAAGGATACCGGATTCAAATTCCTTTTGCAGTGCTGTGTTTGCGTGGCCCTGTGAACGTCAATTGCTTTGAAACTGTCTTCAATCGTGGGAGGTTTTCATAATTGTTATTTTCAAATAACTTGGAAAGATAAAACACTCATTTACCTATTAATATAGTTAGAATGATTGTTTAGTCATTATCACCGAATAGTTAAAAATTATGGTATTAAACTTATGGTTAACAGTTGGTCATATATTATAAGTAGTTTTTCTTTTAATTAAAAAAAATACGCAATGTCGTAGGTAGTGATTATCGATTCCCAATTAACAAGTTACAATCATTCGAAAACTCGTGTACAGTGGTAGAGCCCGCTTTAACATTTTCACACGAATAGGCCAGCTCGCCCGGTGTAATACCACGACCACACAGCAGGCGTGAAGTGGAAGCAATTCCGCGTTTCGTCTGATGAGTGTGGTGCCGGAGACCTAATTCTAGTCCCTTTCCCTTTCCACCCTTTTCTTAAGAGGGAAGGATGGGAAGGAAAAGTGGATTTGACGGTGGAGGAGATGCGTCTCCTCCTCCGTCAATTAAGGGTAGGCAACGCATCTGCAATTACGGATGTTTATGGGCAGTGGTCGCTTTCCATTTCAGTGGATTCAGGTGGCTGCTTGTTCGTTTGTCACCATATATTAAAAAAAAAACTTGGTAAAATTTATTTTTGTAACTTATGGATAAAGGAAAGTTAAATCCGGTATGAATTATAATTCATTTGTTATAAACGGATATCCAGATATCTCTGTGTCAAGTTTGCCTATTAAATTCAAATCCGCGATCGTACGTCGGCTGTTGAATATAAAACGCTACAGCTTGGTGTAGTGAAAGTGCCGCGACATCGGATTTCTCAGCCGCGAATGGAATTAGACGATTTCCCATTTTGTACAAGCACAATAAGAATTCTCTTACCAGAATCAAATGGCTGACCAATATTTTTTTCTCCTGTATTATTAGTTAATTCTTGCTTTTAAACAATGGTTTCTTTAAAAAAGCGCTAAAAGACTTGTCTCTTGAAAAATGTCTTGTCTTGATCTCTATGATGAAAGAAATTGTGTCATTTCAATTCAAAAATTAAAAAAAAAACATATATAAAAATATGTATGAGGTTATCCGTTGATATAATCAATAATCATCAACATCATCAGCCTTTACCTGCCCACTGCT